TGTTATGGTTCTCATTTGTACTGGAGGTAGCTCATACTGTGTCTCCAACCAGTTGTTAGCATCTTTTCCCAATATCAAGTTCAGTGGCCCCATGTCGATAATCGGGAGTCACTTACACCTCGAAAATCAGCAAGTGCTACTAGGACTTTTACTCCTTGTTCCAGAGGATCAGTAACTTACCGGCACACTTTTAGTTAATAAGCACTATCATGAGCATCCTTACAAGATAAGAACACTGAGATTCACAAACTGGCATTTAAATACTTTCAACTAGAATCTGAATGATTCAAAGTAAGAAGAGACAGTTCTGGAGGTCCTGTTTTAGATAGGGTGAATAGGGAAGTATTCTCTGAAAGGGACATAATTTAAATAAAATAAGGATGCAAACCCTGTGACAAAGTGAAAACAGCAAGGCAAAGGCTCTAAGGAACATGTGAGAAAGAGTATGCAGGCGGTGTAGTTAGAGGGGAGAGAATTACTTTGAGAATGACAAGAGATGAGGTCAGAGAATTAGCCAAGAGCCAGGTCATGTTGGGCTTTGTATGTCCAAGTAAGAACTCTGCCATAAGGCAGAGTGAAATGAAGATTTGTTTGACAAGTTTGAGAAGGTAAATTACATCACATGACTTCAAATTTTGGCAGAGACATTAACAGCTGTCCTTTTATTTATTTATTTATTTTTAAAACAAGCTTTATTGAGGTATGATTAGCATATAATAAACCGCATATATTTAACATATACAATTTTGATACGTTTAAACCTATGTATGCATTGTGAGACCATCACGTCATCATAATTCAGTTAAAAGTTTCCAGCACCCCTGAAGTTTCTCTGGGTCCCTTTATAGGATGATGCCTTGTTTCTGGATCCAGCAATGGGAAGATAAGGATAATTTCTTGAGCAATAAACACTGGAGGAAGAGCAGGGTTTGCAGGGCAGAAGTGTAGGACATTCACAAGCTCAGTTCTTTGTGACTGTCACACTAGGCTCTGATGATTGTGCAGACGTAGAAAACTAGACATGTTGATATATTTTATTCATATATATTGGTCTACTTTTGTTTGAGCAAAATATTGTGGTCAGAATATAAACTAGAAAGATGTTGAATATCTGTGCAAGGGGAAGACTTGTATACAGTATATTTAAGACAATTTCCTACAGTGACCTTCACAAAAAAAGGAAGAAAAAAAATGAAACCAATAAGCTTGGAAATTTAGTGTCTCTGAAGCTATTCAATTAGGAAAATAGACTATTTCAAATATATCCCTGAATAAATATGCAGAATCAGTCACCCTGTGAAAGGATGCAGCCAAGCCTGAAATCTAGTTTTGGCAATGACTAGTATGTTTTCCATGATCCTCCTCAAAATAACTTTCATTATTTTTTTTTTCTTCCAGGTGTCATGATATATTTATTTCACTCACCTAAATTTAATTTATAAATTTTTTAAAAACTTTGTATAGGGAAACATTTTATTAATTCAGTGTTTTAATGGGCAAAATATTACCTACAGTTATTGCTCATGTCAAAACATATACAGTGATACCTCGGTTCTCGAACATAATTCGTTCCAGGAGGATGGTCGAGAACCGAATTGTTCGAGAACCGAAGCAATGAAACCCAATAGGAAAGCGTGACTCCACAAAGCGTGACTCTCTCTCTGCACTCACACTGATGATGCAAGCAAGGCGCGCTGGGCCGAATGAACGCCATTTGGCTCAACTCGGCTCATCTCGGAAGTTCGAGTTCCAAATATTTGTTCGGATTCCGAGACAAAAGTTTCTCGAATCTCCTGGTCGAATACCGATTTGGTCGAAAACCGAGGCGTTCGAGAACCGAGGAATCACTGTATTCTTTTCTCCTTCACAAATCACCAACCATTTTTGATGTTTTGAGAATCAAGCAACTTACTTGACCATTATAAATTGTCTGCTTATTTGCCCAGACACTTCTGGGGATATTCTCAGTCTTTGTTTTAGTCTGTCACATTTGGATATGATAGACAGAGCCAATATTATTTATTTATTTTTTTTCCTCACCCGAGGACATTTTTCCTTTTTTTTTTTTTGTTCAGATAGAGTGGAAGGGAGAGAGAGGAAAAGAGAGCGAGAGAGAAACATTGACATGAAAGGGACACATCGAGTGGCTGCCACCCACACGACCAACCAGGGCTGGGGACAAACTGCAACCGAGGTACGTGCCCTTAGCGGGAACCAAACCCAGGTCTCTCTGCACCGCAGGCTGATGCTCTAACCACTGAGCAAAACTGGCCAGGGCAAGAGCCAAGATTATTATCTATAGTTATGCACTTTAATTAGATACAACTTTGAATGATTATTTCAGGTTTAAGATTTTCTAAAAACTCAAGTTATAATTCCCTTCATGGTGAAGGAAAAGAACATATTCCCCCACTTGCATGTAGCCCAGCTGCTCTCTGGGCAGGTGAATGGAAGCCAACTGGCTGTATTTCTAAAGAGGCCACAGACCTCATTGTCATTTTCCATAGTGAGGAAACTGGTCAGTGTGAAGATCATTTGGATGTTGTTGGAGGTTTATGTTAACTTTTCTGTTTTGCTTTTCATTCTTTCTATATGATTTGAATATACTATCTTTTCTTTGTATGAAGTATTAGTTAAAAGGAATAATGGATATTGAAGTTGCTTATTTATTGGTTAATGTGAACATAATCAAAGAAATAATAATATAAACTGACATTAATTAATTTTAAGTGCCTTTAATGCTATATTATTCCTGAAATCAACCCTGTGAAGTGGTTAGTATTGATATTACCATTACAAGATTATAAATATATAACACAGGTATAAAATTAAACTTGTTATAGATTACACAGGTAGTATGTTGGAGAGGCATAATTTGAACCCAGGAAATCTGACACTAAAATTTATTTCTTAGACATCAGTATTATTCTGTACTATACTGAGGTGCACATTAAAGACATATAAATTCAACTGTCAGATATTATGAACTCTGGCAATGTAAAAAACGAGTGAGTCATGCTTTCCCAGGTTTCTTAGTCCATAAACTGCCACCTTAGCATTTTGGTGGCAGAGTATATTTTCTGACCTCAAAACCAGTAAAATGTCTGATTCTTCTCAAACTACTGTTCTTGACGTTCAGTTACACCTAGCAAGCACACACATTCCTACCCCTTTGTCCATGGTGGGCCTCACTCAATTCCTAAAATTCATGTTGTCCTTTTATACTCTCGTTCTCCTTTTTTAGTTTGATAAACAAAACAGAAGTCCTGATACCTGACATGTCTTGGCACTATCAGTTACACCTTGGTGGTTCCAGGAGCTGGCCTGCAGCTACGCCATGGTGCTCTTTAACATAAACCATTTCACAGAACACCAATTCAGACAAGGCCACTCTGTGACTGTGATGGATCAAGAAAAAAATAGGAGCACTCTCTAATCATAAAATCAAGAACATTGTTTAAAGCATAAAAGTGAGAGAATTTCTGTGTGATGTCTCCTTTACCTAGTGTAGCTTTAGCCCAGCTTCATTCTACCAGCCATTGAGATGAGAGTTAGTCAAGAACCAATCATGAATTTATTTCTACATCCCAAAACATCCAATCCAAATCAAAGACCCGTTTCCTTGATCCCTACCTAGAGATTATTTAACATAAATCCAAATTCTAAAATAAGTACTTTCTAATAGCCTCTTAATGATGCACCCTGGGGCTTCTTGAATTGAATTGTCTTCATCATTATAATGAGTCGGTAAACTCAGTTATAGGTTGATTACTGGTGAGTTTCAACTTGAGGACATAAATGAACTTCTAATATATGCTTGTAATCTTTACCTAGAGCAGCATCTGGAATACTTAAACCTCCTTGAAATTTATAGTCTTAATAGGGATATACAACCTTGTAGAGTAAGTTACCACACATTCATACAAATACATACACGCAAGTCCTTGCACAATATCTGTACAGTTATCCAGTTTCTACCAAAGCCATTTCTCAACTCAACTGAGGATTTACTTTTTTTTTTTTTTTTAAGATTCAGTCTGATTTGAATTTCTCCAACTATTCTAAGAAAAAGAATGAGAAAAACTTATTCCACTAAATTCTCAGCAAATTTGAATAACATCAGGGGTGGCATTTCAGATATATAATTTTATATCTATAAAATAAAGTCTTTTTATTTTTTATTATTTATTTATTACAAATTATTCTGAAAAATGGATAAATTATGTTATATATTCTATTTATGTTTTTTGAAAGTCTTATACTTAGAAACATTTTTTTCCCAAAGGGGTTCATCATAATTCTTACAGTAATTACCCAAAATTAGCACAGACTTCACAGCTTAAAGACACATGTCACACAGGACTGCCATCCCTTCAGATACCAGCTGCAAGTTCTAGGATCCCCATACAACCTACACTTCTGACCAACAGGCTATGAACTCAGAGGGTTCCCATTAACACCTTCAAGTTAGACAATTTGCTAGAATGATTCACAGAACTTAGCAAAGTTTATGCTTATGATTGGAGTTTTATTATAAAGGATACAAATCAGGACCAGCCAAATGAAGAGAAATATTGGGTTAAGTTTGGAAGAGTGCCAAACATGAAGCTTTCAGGTCCTGAAGAGACATCATCCTCTTGCCATATCTATCTATGTATATGTATATGTTTGTCTATGTCTATATCTATATCTATGTCTCTCTATCTCTCTCTCTCTCGCTATCGCTATCGCTATTGCTGTCGCTATATCTAACTGTAATTATCTGGTTCATCTTTTTGACATGGCCAGAAACATGAGTCATTTCTTTCACATATATCAGGTATAGTCCAAGGGACCCACTATAGGCTCCTACCACTTAGAAAATTCCAAGGATTTTCAAGGTTACATCCTAGGAGCCAGGGATAAAAGTTAGTCAAATGTTTTATTACACAATAGTGGAATTACACATGTATACAAAAATACTCATTTCAAAGTGTTTTTTATTCTTTTTTTTTTTTCTTCAGGGGACAGCGTGAACACAGTCCCCCACTACTACAAATTGTGCAGTCAAGTTTCCCACATTTGGGGAAATTGCAGGTGTCAGCACATCCGGAGTGTAATAGATAAGCCTCGCCCTTGGAGAACCACCTGTATGATCATGGTATCTTCGCTGCCAGGTAAGTATTATCTATTCTTTTTTTATTTGTCTTGACAGTTGCTGTCAGTGTTCCAAGTGACTGTGTTGGCTATGCATCATTTTAAATACTGCTTCTCTTGTATACTCCATCAGCCCCTTGTCCCATTAGAAATATGATAGCCAGCATTTTTAAACTGATTTTTGAAGTGAAAGAATAAAATTGAATGCTTGCCATGTAACTAGAACCAAGCAATGTAAGGGAGAACTCATAAAAGCCATTTATGTCTGGCAAAAGTTATCATTCTATTCTATTCTCTACACATCAAACATAATTCTGGCATCCCTGTGGTATCTTAAGGTTCTCAGTGCACTATGAATATAATGGAAAAATTTATAGCTGTTTTCTATAATAGTTATATATACCAACTTGAGTATTTATTTACAAGATACCAGACATGGTGTTAAAGTTTTTATGTCTAATTCATATGCTTCTTGCAAAAAACTTGTGGGGTACTCATATTAGACTTTATTAGCAGATAATTAAATTGAAGATATAAATTTCTCTGTGCAAAAAGCACACACACACACACACATACACACACACGAAGTGACAAATCCAGAATTAGAATTCCAGTTTCTGGTTACAAAGCAGATCTTTTGTGAAATCTCTGCATAGAAAAGGTCATACAAAACCATTTCAAGCAAAAGTGCAAAAAAAAAAAAATTCCCTATTCAAGATGTTTTCATTTCTTTGCTTTCACTTTATTTCCTCTTGCTCCTACAGCTGTAATTTGAATGAGGGTAGAAAGTAGGGCAGCAACATAAAAAAAAAAGAAGCAGTTAAAATCACATTTCCTTCATACTTCAGGCAACATAAAACTCTGAATTCTAAACCAGTTTCAGGCTAGTCATTAAGCATATCTTTTTAACTAGCCACATCTGGGCTAATTAACTAAAGGTATAAATATTTTCATCAATGAAGTATCCAGGATATAGAAATAGACGTAAAACTACTGTGTAGTCCTCTTGGGCGTCTAGAGTCCATAAGGGGAGTCAAACATTTCTGTTGCTATGCCAGGGGAGGGCAGGGCTGGCTCTCACAGGATGGGGAAACAGATTTTGTTAGATTAGTCCACTTCTTACTCAGTGCTTGAAGTACTAAGAATATTTTGACAGAATGGTACCTATGATCTGACATTTAATTGGAATATTTAAACCCATTAGATTCTCCTGGCTTTTCAACCACAGTGTCAGTGATGGCACAGCCGAATCCAGGGGAAAAGAAGCAGAATTTGTGCTTAGATGAGCTGAACCTTATCTATACCCACAGCTTTGGAGCTTTATAGAAAGCTCATATATCCTCAATTCTACTCTCAGCTTTGGTTTAATCTTTTACCTGAATGTTTCTGATACTGAGCTTGATCCCAGCACCACAATCACAGGTCGATTTCACTACAGGTGTCCTCAGTAGATCTGTAAGAATGTCCAGAGAGGGAAATCCCCAATAATTTAACTTCTATTTTTCCAAATCTCCTAGGCAACATAGCCTAGAGCACATTTTTTTGTTTTGTTTTATTTTAGCTCTACTGATACTTTTGTTGCAAGTAATAGAAATCCTGTCAAATTAACTTATATGAAGGTATTATCTGTTATTTGGATGGAGATGCCTTGAAATCCAAGAACAAGAAATGCAATTGGATCTGTAGCTTATTATCTGATTCCTTTTGAGTCAGATATCCATTTTGGTCCAGGAAGCTGTGATCAAGAAGTCTTAAATCACACAGTATAGACAGACCTCATCGAAGATGTTTGTGAGTGAGTTCTCTGCCTTCCAAAGCATTTTTTAAATTTTCATACATGGAAACAGTAGTGCCTTCCATAGAGTATTAGGGATGTTATCGAAATTACTTCAGAGCCAATAGGGAATAGCAGGTAGCATAAAGCAATTGCTCTCCCAGATATTCAACTTTATTTCAATCAAAGATATCTATCACTTTTATTCATTTTGTAAGACTTTCTCATAATATTTTGTTTGAAAGATGGTTGTGTTACAAAAATAAAAAAAAATAGGATCACAACTCTTGGGAGAAGGTGATTTTTTTCTCTCTTATCCTTTTTCTATCTTGTGGAATGTATAAACCATGCTAATAGATTTAAGTACACTTGAAAATGATATATTAATAGAAATCTCTTAGAGTTATAAAACGAAGCCTTAATCACTCAAGAATATTAAAGTTAGTATACTTGCCAATGAAATTTGCCCAGAGAAACAAACATATTTCCCATTACAAATGACCCACACAGCATGGCCACATTTCATTTCCAGTATAATAAAGGCATATGTTAAATTTCACAGTATGCAGTATGTATACACTCAACTATCTGAGTACAGAAAATTTATATATATATATATATATGATTTATTAACACATAGTTATATTCTTCTTTTATATTACTATAGATTTATATCTATATACTGCCAAAGTAAAAAAAAGATTTAATATGAAACTAATAAGCCCGCTGATATTTCAGTGTAAACCAATTCGATTGATTCAGATATAAAATCAGGAGAAATAAATTCAAGAAAAAGAAACTAGAAACATGGTTACCCTGAAAACAATTTCACTACTTTATTCTCCCCATTACCTAGAGTATTATTGAGCATGGAGAAAAACTAGAGAGGCCATTCTAAAGACAAAAATAATGTGTACATCTGAGAGAATATACGTGGTTGTTTTTCCATTTACCACAGAACCCAGAATAATGCTATATAATTAAGAGTCAAATAAGAAATAGTTGTTGAGCCCTAGCTGGTTTGGCTCAGCGGTTGAAGCGTAGGCCTGTGGACCAAAGGGTCCCAAGTTCGATTCTGGTCAAGGACACATACCTCAGTTGCAGTACGGTCTCTGACCCTGGTCAGGGTTGTGCGGGAGGCAACCAATTGATCTCTCTCTCTCTCTCTCTCTCTCTCTCTCTCTCCCCTCCTTCCCTCTCTCTTCCTCCCTACTCTGTCTGAAAATTAATTGAAACTATCTTTGGATGAGGATCAAAAGAAATAGTTGTTTAAAATATGAATAAATATTAAAAATATATAGTTACATTTTAAGAATTTATGTATAACACTTCTTAAATATGTGTTATTATATGATTTAATAAACTTCAAGAAATTATTCTGCTTCTCAGGGTATACTCACAAAACAGGATGAATAGATGATAGATAAATGGATAGATAGATAGATAGATAGATAGATACAAAGATTTGTTGGATAGTAATTTGTTTTCACATATATATGCTTATAAGTATATGCAAAAATCTTTAAAACCCTTCAATTCTTCAATGTATATACATTACACATTATATATTATGTGTCTATTATATATACTAGAAGACATAAACAAAAACGCTCCTAACAGCATTGTACATAATAGTCCTAAATTAGATACAGGCCTAAAATGTATAATAGTGGTATATTTAGAAACTGCAACACTTGACAAAAATAAGAGTGAAATATTAATACAGTACAACAATGTGAGTGATTCTTAGATATGTAATTTTTTTTTTTAATCCTCACCCGAGGACATTTTTCCATTTTTGTTCAGACAGAGTGGGAGGGAGAAAGAGGAAGAGAGAGAGAGAGAGAAACACCGACGTGAAAGGGACACATTGAGTGGTTGCCTCCTGCACGACCCAACCAGGGCCGGGGACAAACTGCAACCGAGGTACGTGCCCTTAGTGGGAACTGAACCCAGGCTTCTCTGGACCACAGGCCATTGCTCTAACCGCTGAGCCAAACTGGCCAGGACTAGATATGTAATATTAAGCAAAAGAAAGAAAACATAAAAAAAAATATGAATACTATATACTTTTCTTTTTATAAAGGTCAAAAACATGCAACACTGATTGATAGTGACAGATGTCAGCTTCATGAGTACCTTGGGGACAATAACTGAGAGGCAAGAGAGTGAATTCTCAGGTGCTAGTAATGCTTTATGGCCTGATTTTTGTTGTAGTTCTCTGGCTTGAGAAATGTGTGCAGCTGCATTCTTACAATCTGTATACTTTTCTGTATATATGTTATGTTTCCAAAATTATTTAAATAAAGTTGTTTAAATTTGTATTTCCCTAAATGGTTAATGTTGCCAAATATATGTTTATGTGATTATTTGACATTCATATATCTTTTTTGGTGAACTTTTTTTCATGTTCAATTGACTTTTATATTTTTAGTGTTAAGAGTACTTTATATATTCTGGGTCATAGACCTTTATCAAATATGTGGTTAAAAATAATTTTCTTATATTCAGTAACTTGTTTGTTTATATTATTAATGGTGTCTTTCAAAGAGAAAACATTTTAATTTTTATAAAGTCCAATTTTCAATTTTTACTTTTATAGATTGTGCTTTTGGTATCAAGTCTAAAGATTTTCTCCTATACTACATTTAAGTCTGTGATACATTTTGAGTTAAACAAATTGTGAGACTTTTTTTTGGCTATGATGTCCAATAGCTCCAGCATAATTTAATGAAAAGACTATCTTTCCTCCATTAAGGTGCTTTTGCACATTTATCAAATATCAGCTGGACAGATTTGTATGGGTCTATTTCTGGGTTCTCTGTTCCATTGATCTTTGGGTTTATCATCTGAGAAAGACACAGTCTTTGTTAACATAGTTGTATGATCCTGAAATTTGGTAGAATAATCTGTTCTCCTTATTCTTCTCTTTCAAAATTGGTTTACTAATTCTAGTTCCTTTGTATTTCAGTGTAAATAGTAGAATAACGTTTTCTGTAGTTACAACAAAATGTGCTATGTTTTTTATAGGAACCACATTTAATCTGTATATCCATTTGTGTGGGGGGGTTGGCATCCTTACTGTGTTCATGTCTCTAATCCATGAAAACCATATAACTTTGATTTTTTTTTCCTCCAGTGTTGTGTAGTTTTCAGCATCTATCTCCTGTCTCTGTTTTCTGATTTTTACATAAAAATATTTCAGTACACACTTATACATAGCTAAAATTTAACAATGTGAAAATATCCTGTGT